TCTATGCTAACTCCCCCTCGCCGACCATCCGCCTCGGAAAATACTCATCAGACTCGAGCTCAAGTCTTTCAGAGTATATCCGTACCACCTCGCCGGGGGACACACGCAACTACCCGGGTCTCAGGTTTATTTGCCTATCAACGGGTGACACACGCAAACCCGAAGTCCGTTCCATGGCCAATGGAACGTTGGCGCGGTTGCCAAAGAACCGTACTTCCTCGTCATGCATTCGGGTGACACACGCAAACCCGAATACATGAGTCGTAGGATGCCATAACCGTTCATCAGGGAACGATGGCGCGATCGAAGATCGCCACAATCACAATCACGTCTCCACGAGCGTCTCCACAAGATGATAATCGATCCGGATCGAATATCATATCGCGAAGATTTACAATCAAGACAATCATCGTGATATTATTAAAAAAAACCCGTCTACAATCATACACTTAACAATACCCGGACCCATCCGAGTAAGGTCAATGCCATGCCATCTACCCTGACAAGATTTCTCAATCACAAACGATCATGCATTATTACTTACCGTACACAAGGTCAAGCATAATTTCTTTTAAATTTGTTCTTATGTATTTTACTTATTTTTATGATTTATTGAATCTTTTAAATCATCGGTACGATCAAACTAGGTTCCGGCCCGTCCGGATTACTAGTTCGGCTCGTCCCGAGATTGATACTTAACCGGTCACATCGTTTGGTCTGAACTACGTATGGTCCGGTTCGAACTGAGTTTATTCATATTTTGGTTAAATTCTGGCTTTACGATTAGACCGAGTCGGTCCAATTTCTGAATCGTTTGCTCCATTATTTATTTATTTATTTATTATTTTTATTTTTTTTATCATTATTATTATTATTATTATTTTGGCAGTTCGTGTTGGTCCAGTTTATAAACCGTCCGGTCTTTTTGTTTGATTTATTTACTTATTCATTTATTGTTATTATTATTATTTTATTATCATTATATATTTTTATTTTAAAATAAATTTTCTTCCTCTTTTTTTTTAGGAACGGGTCGGTCTGGATTCAGATCGTCCGGTCCAAAATTCACAATTCATTTTTTTTTTATATATATATATTTGAATTTTTCGTGTTTCTTTGTCTAGAACCTTAGTCTGGTCGGTGTGGAACCCGTCCGACCCGGTCTAGACTTTGAATATTATTAAACACAATAATTCATAGATATAAAAAAAAATAATCATAAATATTCAAGCAACACGAATCAATCAACAATTTTACACACATTCAAACTCCGAAGACAATAAAAATAAAATTCTCGAATCACATCCAAATTCACTCACAGGGTTATGCCGGTTGATTTTTTTCTAGTAGTGGTGTCCACCGGGATTAGTCGGAGGAGAAACACGTCTCGTGAAATGCAGAGAAAGGGAGAGAGAGAGAGGAGAGAGAGAGAGAGAAGAGAGAGAGAGAGTGAAAAAAAAAAGGGAAGAGTAAATTAAAATAATGCAGTAAAAAAAAAAAGAAAGATTATAAAAAGTTAGAAAGAAGTTGCCGACTAATCCCGGTGGACACCACTACTACCCATTATTATAATAATTATCATATATATTGTATATAGATATATAGGTGGGTAGTTGCCAACTACTACGGCAACTTTCACGTTTTCGCAGCCTTAATATATATATATATATTTTTAATTTAATTTTATTATTATTATTAAAATCTAGATTTGTTACAATCTATCCCCCTTAAATTGAATTCGTCCTCGAATTCAAATTGAACTTAGATAGAGATGTTTACCGAAAAGGTAGGGATAATGATCGCGCATCTCTTTCTCCAATTCCCACGTTGTATCTGTTACTCCCTGACTCCGCCATACGACTTTGACCAATGGTATCTCTTTGTTCCGTAATTTCTTGATCCTATGGTCGACGATCTGTAGCGGCTCATCCCGAAATCGTGTATCGCTGGTGAATTCCAACTCCTGCGGTTGTAACACATGAGAAGGATCTGCAATATATTTTCTCAGCATCGATACGTGGAACACGTCATGGATATTGCCCAGTTCTGGTGGTAGCCCTAGACGATATGCCACAGCTCCCACCTTTTCAATAACTGGATATGGTCCGATGTATCGCGGCTTAAGCTTCCCTGATTGACGTGTTCCACGTATCGATGCTGAGAAAATATATTGCAGATCCTTCTCATGTGTTACAACCGCAGGAGTTGGAATTCACCAGCGATACACGATTTCGGGATGAGCCGCTACAGATCGTCGACCATAGGATCAAGAAATTACGGAACAAAGAGATACCATTGGTCAAAGTCGTATGGCGGAGTCAGGGAGTAACAGATACAACGTGGGAATTGGAGAAAGAGATGCGCGATCATTATCCCTACCTTTTCGGTAAACATCTCTATCTAAGTTCAATTTGAATTCGAGGACGAATTCAATTTAAGGGGGATAGATTGTAACAAATCTAGATTTTAATAATAATAATAAAATTAAATTAAAAATATATATATATTAAGGCTGCGAAAACGTGAAAGTTGCCGTAGTAGTTGGCAACTACCCACCTATATATCTATATACAATATATGTACCCAATGCTTCCTGTATCGCACCCCACAATCGGGATGTGAATCTAGGGTCACGATCCGAGATAATGTCACTCGGAACTCTGTGTAGTCGGACAATCTCATCAATATAAATTTGCGCCAGTCGGTCTACGGTATACTCCTGTCGAATCGGAATAAAATGTGCTGACTTGGTTAATCGATCAACGATTACCCAAATAGCGTTCTTCTTTGTCTGGGTCAATGGCAATCCAACGACAAAATCCATAGCAATAGAGTCCCACTTCCACTCTGGGATCTCTAATGGTTGTAGCTTTCCACCTGGCATCTGTCGTTCAGCCTTCACTTGCTGACACGTAAGACATCGAGCAACGAAATCCGCAACATCTTTCTTAATACCAGGCCATGTGTACCATTGTCGCAATCCCTGATACATTTTGCTGGCTCCAGGATGAATAGCCAATCTCGATTGTGAGTTTCATGGAACTCAAGAAGCGACTGACAACTGCACCGATATTAGCTTTACCACGACCAGGTGTGCAGTATGATGTGTATACAGATGCGTCAAAACAAGGTCTAGGTTGTGTATTGATGCAAGAGGGACATGTGATTGCCTATGCATCTAGACAGTTACGAAAGCACGAGGAAAATTATCCAACGCACGATCTCGAGTTAGCTGCGGTAGTGCATGCATTGAAGATTTGGAGATCTTATTTATACGGTGAAAAGGTTAAGCTTAACACGGACCATAAGAGTTTGACCTATGTGATCTCTCAGAAAGATTTGAATCTTCGACAACGACGATGGCTCGAGTTGATAGCTGATTATGACTGGGAGATTGCATACCATCCGGGTAAGGCAAACGTAGTTGCCGACGCCTTGAGCCGAAAGAGAATCCTATCGACTATACGAGTTCTATCATCGTCACGAGAGAACATAGCAGAACTGTCAGCTATGTTGGGACACATGGTGATTTCTGGGGAGGATCAGGCTCCGAGTTTAAGAGGACGAGTGATCTCAGGACAACGCAGTGATCCAGACCTGGTCCGATTCATTGAAGATATGGACAAATACAGTCTCCAAATCTTCAATGCATGCACTACCGCAGCTAACTCGAGATCGTGCGTTGGATAATTTTCCTCGTGCTTTCGTAACTGTCTAGATGCATAGGCAATCACATGTCCCTCTTGCATCAATACACAACCTAGACCTTGTTTTGACGCATCTGTATACACATCATACTGCACACCTGGTCGTGGTAAAGCTAATATCGGTGCAGTTGTCAGTCGCTTCTTGAGTTCCATGAAACTCATCTCACACTCTGACGTCCACTCAAACCGCACATTTTTTCCCGTCAATTTCGTCATTGGTTTCGCCAATTTGGAAAAACCCTCCACGAATCGACGATAATAGCCTGCTAATCCTAGGAAACTCCGGATCTCCGTGGCATTAGCAGGCGTCTTCCACTCAATAACAGCTTCGATCTTTGTTGGGTCCACCTGAATTCCACGAGCGGAGACTACGTGTCCAAGAAAGCCAATCTCCTGTAACCAAAATGCACATTTTCTGAACTTGGCATACAGATGGTTATCCCTCAGACGTAGCAACACTTTCCGCAAGTGCTCTTCATGACTTTGTTGGTCTGGAGAATATATCAGAATGTCATCAATGAAGATAATGACGAATTCGTCCAGATAATCCATGAATATTCGGTTCATCAACTGCATGAAGACTGCTGGAGCATTCGTGAGTCCGAACGGCATGACAACAAACTCAAAGTGGCCATATCGTGTACGGAAGGCTGTCTTCGGTACGTCCTCCACCTTCACACGAATCTGATGGTATCCTGATCGTAAATCAATCTTGGAAAACCACTTTGCTCCCTGTAACTGATCAAGTAACTCATCAATCCTTGGTAATGGATACCGATTCTTGATGGTTACTTGGTTAAGTCCTCTATAGTCAATACAGAGTCGCATAGTGCCATCCTTCTTCTTCACAAATAGTACGGGTGCACCCCAAGAAGATACACTGGGTCGAATGAATCCCTGCTCCACTAATTCATTCAATTGTTTCTTCAACTCTGCCATCTCCATGGGAGCCATCCGATATGGTGTCTTGGATATCGGCTCTGTACCCGGTATCACATCAATAGAGAAATCGACTTCTCTCTGTGGTGGTAGTCCAGGCAAGTCGTCTGGAAATATATCCCCGAATTCTTGAACCACTGGAGTGTCCTCAAGCTTCCCATCAACTTCCTTTGATGCAGTAATCACGATGAGAAAGGCATGACACCCTTTTCGAACCATGTTTCTAGCTCGGAGGGCTGATATAATCGGGAATGACGTTTGTACCTTGTCCCCAACGAACTCAAAATGTCCCGTCGAATCCGTAAATTGAATAGTTCGTCGACGACAATCAATGTGTGCTCGATGTAGAGTCAATTAATCCATTCCCAATATCAAATCGTACCCTTGAATAGGTACGATAATCAAATCGGCAGGAAGATCCCTTCCACAAAATTGTAATGGCATGTCATGCAATATTCCGCGCATAGGAAGGATCTCTCCGCCGGGCGTACGTATCTGATATCGACTAGTAGTATCGACATCCGTAAAAGCTAACTCATCAGTTTTCTTCACACTCAGAAAACTGTGTGTAGCCCCGGTATCAAACAAGGCATGACAAGAAATATCATATATGTACAAAGTACCAGTAATAGCGGCAGCATCGGTCTGCTCGGAGTCCTCCTCTGCAACAGTATCTTCAGCGGTTGGTTCTTCAACGTAGTACTCCTCGCCCTGAGTATCGGCCTCTGCCGCCAACACGTAAACTCTCGGTGCAACGCCAGACTGCTGTAAAGGCTGAATGCGAAGAGGTTTGGCGTTCGTCGGGGCGGTCCCCTTTTCCGGGCAGTATGTCGCAATGTGTCCCGATCGTCCACACTGGTAACATGTCGGAGGAGTACTGCATGGTCCAAAGTGGACTCGCCTGCATCGGGGACAAGGCCTCCTCTGGGATGACTGTGGTGGTGGTGGCCGAACCGCCGGTAATTTCCCCTTGTCTCGGGAGTCACTAGTCTGACCAGTACTGGTGGAAGGTCGACTAATGAAGAATCTTCTGGTTGGGGTTCGGTCTCGGATCCGGGCCTCCTGCAGCTCCTCACGCTCGCCTCGCTCCATCTTCTCGAGCTGGCAGATGTATCGGTTCAAGGTAGGATACTCCAGTACCTCGATCTTCCTTCGCAGAGAGGGGCGAAGACCAGCAACAAACTTCTGAATCTTCAATCTTTCGGTAGGAACAAGATTAGCTCCATATCGTAGGAGCCTAGTAAATTCCGCCTCATAGTCACCAACAGAACGGTCACCCTGCTGGAGATTGATGAACTCCACGAGACGATGTTCCTGATCATGTCGCTTGTAATATTTCTCCTCGAACTCAGCTCGAAACTCATCCCACGTGAACTGATGTCCAGGAATAGTGTCTCGCACAACTCCATCCCACCAGTGGCGAGCTTGTCCGAACAGATGGTGACTCGCTATCTCTGCTCGATACTGTAGTGGACACCGTAGATAATCAAAGTCATGTGTGATCCGCACCAACCAGTCCTCAACAACTTCAGGAATCTGAGAACCCTCAAACCTCGGGGTGTTCATGGCCCGAAGTTCCTTGATCAGTGCAAGGTAATCCACGCCTACTGGTGCGTGAAACGCCGGCAGACCGGGTGGAGTTGGTGTGGGAACATCCTCTGTTCTAGCCGCAGGTATGGCTCCAGCTGCTGGAGGTGGCATCTGACCCTGATACTGTTGCCACATCCTCTCGCAGAACTGTCGAAAGTCCTCTGGCATGGGGTTAGGGATAGGTGCTTCCGCTGCCCCGAGTCTAGGCGCAGGTCGTGCACGTCGTGGAGGCATAGTCACTGTAGACATTGAAAAGGAGACTTAGTCCCGGTGACTTCGAGATCATGCATTAACTTTTCAAAACATTGTCTGTCAAAAATAGAAAACTTTTAAAAATCATGTTTTTGAAAACCTTCTCAAAACATTTTTACTGATATCAAGTTTTCGCATATTCTTTTCCGAGGAAAGAACTGCTCTGATACCAAATTGTGACACCCGTAACCCCGTATCCCGCTTACAGGTTGTG